TTGCAAATGTGAGGGTAAAACCACAAACAAAGAGGGTCGTGAAAAAAAAACACGGCCAAGGGAGCGAGCGAGAGGGGGGACGATAAGATTGAGACATACCACCATGTACGGCAGTTACAAAGGCGGTTTTGGTGGGGTGAGGTGCCTTTCTGCGGTAGTGGTACGGCAATGAAAAGTAGGGCAGGGCCGTTACTTTTCAAGACCGACCAACAGCTTCCGATGCGCTCGATCGAACGCTCATGACGAGATCTCTCTCACGAATATATTGGTTCCGCTCAATTTTTTGGTGTGTGCGTGTGTGCGTGTATTTGTTTACATTTTTTTTTTCTTCTTGGTATGACCCAACGAATCCATCTCCAAAAAAAAAAAAAAAAAAAAAAGAGTCTGCGATAGGTTAGCAATGAATCCATAGCGTCAGCGAAGACCACCTGTATTTCCAATTTCCATTTATGACTTGAAATCGGTCTTACAAACACCGGTAGGCTGTGTCAGAGAAAACTTCGGTTATAAGCTGCGAGGACTGTAGTATTTTGAATGCACACAGCCGAAAATTGGGGTGCTGTGAGTCCATCACGAACTTCATGCTGGCCTTAAAACTTACAGATTGCATGATACGGTTTATGCGAAAATATTGCATCGACCAGTATACCAATGGCATACATATTATACAATAGTGACATACTGGAGCCTGAGAGGGATGGAAGGTTGTCGCACTGCTGTTTCGCGGGAAAAAAAAAAAAGTTGAAGATTTTTTTAGGGCGCAGAGCGAGCGTACACGCGGGTGCATGTACACGCTAACAATTCCCTGCAAGAGGGAAGCACCTCTACATGGGGTGCCAGATGGAGGGAGTGTGGACTTCCACTGTACCGGTGCGAATATCCAACAAGCATGGGTGTGTGTAACGTGGGAAACAGCAAAAAAATAGAGGCTGCCCGACACAAATCTGTACAACAGGGAGCGAGCTGAAAGAGAGAAAAAGCGCCAAAAAATTAGAGTCAACTGCAAGCAACCGGACGGGCACACGGAGTAACAAGACCATCGAATCCGCAAAAAAAAGATAGCGAGCACGATTGGGTGGGCGGAGCTGGATTACAAAACAGCCGTGAGCAAGGGAGAATTGCTCTGTACGCAAGTCCTGCGGATTCAAAAGGGGGCTGCAGCCACATCCACAGGCCACATCCATCCCTTCGGTGGCCCTCTCTGTTCCATAGACTCTGGACATGCTCTCTGTTTTGAATCAAAGGCTCTTCGGCACACACCGGTTCTGCAGCTGTACGGCAAGCTTCGCTGCGCGACGGCCGCACGTACCAAACAAGGAGAACAGGCGACTCACACTGGCGACTCGGGGAAAGACCGGCTGCAGAGAGAGACAGGCAGAAGATGAATCCCAATCCTCCTTTCGCGCAAGACGTCGCTTCTGATGCCGCTTCTGATGGTGCGGTGTGTGTGCGGGCGGCGCGCTTGCCCCCCCCACATGTCGATGGGGGCGGGGGGGGGGTTCCGTGGAACGGTGTAACGGCTAGCGGCTGCGGCTGCGGCGTCAAAATCGTTTCTTCGTCGTTGTTCGTCCGTTATCCTTTCTCTCGGTGGTGTCGCACGGCGCTGTGTCGGTGCTTTCATGCTATTGTCGCGCTGTTGGCTCCGGCATCTTCATGTTCTCGCGCAGTGAGGTTTGTTTACTTCTATATTACAGACCGGTCAAGTGGGCATAATTGATTGCAGTGTTGCGTGACCGACGTGCTACGGCGATGTGAGGCGCAACAATAATCCTCCGCCTGTCAAAACCCACTAAACTATCATCAGGAGCAGAACATCTCCGAAGTTCTGGTGCAATGAACAGCAGGCCGAAAACGCTGTGAAATGATATTCGTTGAAATATGTAGGATCACCAACACAGCAGTACTTTATTTTGTGCAAGTCCTGAATGTTTTTTTTTTTTTTCTTAGTATGACACAACGAATCCATCTCTATCATAGAGTCTGAGACAGATTAGCAATGAATTCATAGAAAAATTTGAAAAGCGGGGTTGTATATAGTTTGTCATGCTGCCAAAATGAAGCTATGTATCCGTAAGGATGCGGGTCTCCGCACAGGGGTGTTAGCGTTTTTCAAAGCTTCACCACTCGACAACTAGGAAGGCAACACTGCCGAAATGGGCGGTTTTGGAATTATCTCATCGAGGTCTTTCCTCAGACAGACGTGTTGTTTGGCCTTCGCACCCTCCTACTGCTGTAGTTGCAGAGTAAGCTGTAGTTGCAGAGTAAGCTGTAGTTGCAGAGTAAGCTGTAGTTGCAGAGTAAGAGAGCTTAAAGCCTTAACACCCCTGTGCGGAGACCCGCATCCTTACGGTAGCTGCCGTGTTTCCCGCCTTCACCTAAAAAAAGCTGCAACTGCTGTAAGTATAACCAAGAAAAGAAAAAGGGGATGGAAACAAACATGCCCAGCCAGGCATTTACAGCGGTGACATAGGGTTAGATATACAATAATCCTCCATGCAGGCATCGTTGCAGCTACAACTGTACTCCGAGTGGATGGGAGGGATGTACGTGTACATGTAGGACAATACTAGTCAAAGAAGTCCACGTCACCGTGTGCCTACGGGGGCAACATGACGTGCTCTACGGCAAGGCAAGACACGACCAAACGTGGAATTCGAGACCGCATTATTACCCACCCCGATGTCCGAGGGGGGGGGGGAGATGATGGGCCTTTCAAAGTTTGTTTCTACACCAAGAGTGTCGGGGGAGCCAAAGTTTAAGTTTGTTACACAATACCCTGTCGGGGAGGGAGAACAAAAAAGGATTAAAAAAGGGATTTCGACTACATATTAAAACAGAACTATAATAAGGTGCGTTTCCGCACGCTCAACAACAATAGTACAACCGAAACAAAACCACAAAAGAGAGAGAGCACCACACACCGGAATCCGTCGAGACTACAAAAACGACGGAGTCAAAAGCAGCTTGCTGAACAAGCACGCACGCGCGCACGGTAGCTCATGACCGCCGCGAAGAGCGGGCAAAAATGAAACCAAGCACACCGGCAAGCATACCACAAGAATGACCGAAACAAAAAACAAAAAATCAAAATAACCGCAAAGAGCTGCGGCATATCTCAGAAACAAACCCGCTGGGTATACGGTATGCTTGTTTTTGTGGCGAGGCATTCCTGACACAAAACGGAAACAATCTCTACCACGGCTACAAACTCGAGTGTACAGCAGGCACTACGCGGAAAAGACGACGGCGTTGCCACCCCACCAATCCTGACGGGGGTACGTACGTGTAACAATCACGGGTACTCTACACCCCGGTACGGCCGAACAGGACCACATCCCGCAGCGGGGAACGTCCCCAGGGAAAAAAAAAAAGGGGGTTTACCCCGGTTTCGTTCACATTGCCCCCCCCCGCCCCCTTATTCACAAGGCCCGCCCCCCCCCCCCCCCCGACAGACAAAAACATGCCTCGCGGTCCAAATAATAGCTGGAACCACAGAAGAAGCAAAATATGGTTCGATGAAGTCCCATCTCGCCCCCACCCCGTGCAGGCGAGAATCGCTCCTCGGTCTGTTGCACCCGTGTCATCACTGCATCTCGAGGTAGTTCGCGGGCACCCATCCTTCTACGCCGCCATCCAATGACGCCATCCACCAGTCTGGGTTGTCCCGGTTGGTTACCCCGACCATCTGTGCGTGCGATGCCGGGGGACAGAAAAAAAAAACACACACACACACACACAAACATGTGTTGGTGCATCGTGCGGAGACACATCAGGTTGTTTTGGCCCGACCGCCTGTGAACGCCGTGCCAATCGACTTCTGGCGACGGTTTCGCTGCTCTCAAGCAAGCTTATTTAAGAGCGAGCGAGTGGTAACTACGGCGGTGGTAGCGGGTGACAGCGGGTGACAGGAATACATACGAAGAGGCCACCCAGCGCATGAATCCTGCGTTCTACGCCCCGCTCTAAGATCCTTCTGTCGTCCTTTTGACACACACAGAGGGGAAGCCAAGGTCCGGCCGTGCTGCTAGGCAACGAACTCGACTCCCGCGTATCATTTGCAGAGACAAACAGAAAGAGACGAAGAGGCTCACCCATCAGGAACGGGGCCCTGCAGTTAATCTAACTTCCTCATAAACCATGAATCATATCTACATCGACGTGACTACACAAAAACACTTTGCGTCACAAGCGTTCCCGTGGTAGGCAACACTTACCGACGTCCGACGCCGCCGCAGCAGCAGCAGCAACAACAACAACAGCATTAGCATCAGCACTACCACCACCACCACCACCAACAACAACAACAACAACAACAACAACATCACCACCTGTGCACGCACTACCCCTTTGCAATCACCAACCACACTACCTCCGGTCATCACCCTAGGACAACCCACCACTAACTAACTAACAAATACAGAGGTACAACCCCCGAAATATATTAAAAAAAAAAAATCAGCGACGAATGAAACCAGCAGCCTTTGCGAGAATGTTAAACTTGCTTCTTAGTAGGGGTTAGGGGTTACGGTAGCGGTTACGAAACCCCCCTCTCTATTTCACATACAACAAAACGCATACATTGTAGTAGCCTCGCTAAGGCGGCTACTCAACGAAAGAAACGCACCTGGCCCGCGGAAACGGCAACCATCCCCTCCTGCCCCGCCGGATCATAGTCGTACAAAACCCTGGCCTGCGGCTCGGAAGGCTTGGGCTTCGGCGGCAGCGGCGGCGCAGCCATCGACGGCATGGCCGGCATCGCGGGGTCCGCCCCGCCGCCGTTCGTTCCCGCCGCCGGCTGCCCGTAGCCCCCCCCCCCGTACCCCCCGGCAGCTGCTGCTGGCGTCGCCCCCGCGGGGGCGGAATATCCCCCGTAACCTCCCGCCGCCGCTGTGCTGTTAGCAGCCGGGGGCCCCCAGTAGCCGCCGTAGCCGCCGTAGCCTCCGTTGGAACTCCCAGCGGGGGCGGTGGCGGGGGCGGCGGATGCCGAGGCAGCGGCGGCCGAGGCGGCGGCGGCGGCCCAGCCCGGGCGCGACGGCGGGGGCCGCGTCGGCTTGACGCTGACCACGTCTTCCTCAATGTTGTACCTGAGTGGTGCATGTATCCAAGAGGATGATGGTAAAGGGGTTGTTTAGTGAGAACACGCGACAGCTAGGCCTACGAACCCTGCTGTGTGCGTCGCAAGACAAAAAAAATCAACGCATCAATCCACGATAATAAAAAAAAAAAAAGGAGTCGGGGCAGTTGGACTACTTGGAAAACCGCTTGTCCATTCCAAGCCCCTGTGAAAGGTGGCATGTCACCGTCGAATGGAACAGCAAGAACACAACACGCAGCACAACCAATGACACAGCCCCCAGAACCTCCCCCCCGCCCGTCGCCCTCTAGTTCTTCCTGCTAACCTGGCGCTGATCTCCCTTTCGAAGAAGCCGGACAGCAGCGGGGGGATTTCCTTCACGCTCGGGGCTGTTTCCTTAACACCGTCGTACACCGACATGTGCACGGCCTACCGGACGTGGACAAAAAAAAACACACACACGAACACGCGCGCGTGCGCCAGAGAGAGAGAGACAGGAATCGCGCAACGTGTGGAAGCGACGGGGGGGTTGCATAAGAGTCCGTCAGTGTTTGTTTCTTTGTTGGGGTGGATTTGATGACGGGAGGATGGCGACGCACATGTGTGCGAGCGGCAACGAAGCGAGACAGACACGGTTCGCAAAATCTCACACGTACGCCGGAGGGACAATGGAAAGGTGACGATCCAAAAAGAACAAACAACATCAACGGCATGTCGATTGTACTGTAGGTTGAATAAGATACCACCACCAAATTATTAGGTAAGAACAAGCCTGTGACCACCGGAATCTCGGTCAAGTGTTTGATCAGTACGGACAGATGAAGGTACTGGGTAGAGAGATCGGAACGGTTTTCAATGTGACGACAACGACAACAACAACAACAACAACAACCCCTTGATCGAACAAACCAACGACAGCAGCAGCAGCAAGAAATAACGACAACGTCGAGCGTGCCCAAGTTTGCGCAAGATACCATACCCCCCTGACCTATTTTCAAAGCTCGAATACCCCGCGATGAAGAGGGTGCCAAAACAAATTGACCGGTATGTTTTCAGTAAGCTCTCGACGAGACGCCTCCAACGCCACCATTTTTAGAGCCGTCGTTACTCTGTTTTTCTGCACAGCAGCCTTCGAGCTTTGAAACCCGGTCCACAGGTAAGCTCAGGCGGACAAAAGCGGACCGCCAGGCGACGGGGGAGGAGGGGGAGGGGTGGGGAGTTTGCCTGGCGCTTCGTGCCACACACCGTCCACTCCCCGTCAAAAATTCAAAAAAAAAATTCACGCCTAAAGTTCTACACCCGGCCACGCTTCTCATGCGCTGTGTATGTGTAGCTCAGCTGACTCCGCCGACAAAGGTGGGCTGCCAATGGGCTGCTGCTCGGAGCTTCGCAACGCTTGCGCCGGCGCGTTGAAGGCGCGGGTATAGCTGAGCCTACAGCGCAGCCTAGGCTTTCAACAAGGAGCAACCGACCAAGGAACAAAGAGGTAGCCTACTAGCGTAGCGTAGTGTCAAGGAGTGTTGCTGTAGGGCATCAAAAGGGTACATCTTGGTCTAGAGTAGGATGTGGGCTGGCCAGGAGGTATACGTCTGAGGGACCATACCACTAATCAGGACTTAGCTATCTGCGTGCCCCCTTGTTGAGAGGTGGATCACCCACCTCAACCAGATCTCTCTCTCTGGCTCGCTCGTTTCAAGCCACATCCCATTTCTACACAATCGCGGAGGCAGGGCATGAAGTGACCGTACCTCTTTCTTTACGTTAGGACCCCAGCTGCTGCTACCAACAGCTGGGGCTCCCTCGTACCAGGCTTTCCAACAACAAGCAAAACCGACAAACGAACAGAGGTAGCCTAGCGTAGCCTAGGCTACCAACGATGAACGCAACCTACCAAGGAACAAGAGAGAGAAAGCAAATAAAAAAAATCGTGGATGGTTCTCACCAGCTTGAACTTCTCGCGAGTGTCTTCCGGAGCGTTGCACCGCACGAAGTAGTGCACGTAGTTTTCCATGTCCTGGAAGAGCCGGCCAGATTTGTAACGGCAACGACCGCGAGGGGGGGGAGGGGGGGGGGGGGGGGGGCCAGGGTTCTTTGATTGAGCACGGAGTGGGACCTCCCGTTGATTCATGCCAAT